AGTACGCTCCAGTGTTGTCGGGGGCTCCTCTTCCTCCTTTGAGGGTTCTGGCGTCTTCGGAGGAGACAACGGTGCTGGAGGTGAGGCAGCCACTTCATCTTCCACTTTTTCTTCTATCTCTCTCTCTTCTCCTGGCGGCGACTCCACAATGCCCTCCTCCTCCCTAACCACTGGGGCTTCAGCAGCTGCAGCGCCTGTTATATGAATTGGGAGACTGCACATTAATAAGAATACTAATGACGATTTATATATAGTGCCCATCCTTGTATATGCAGTACACTGACAGAATTATCACTCAACTAACAAACCATAGGACAGAAAACATGTGCGCACACACACATACACACACACACACACATTCTCACATACAAAATTTACTGGCAAAGGAAAGTGTTGAAAATGTGTTTCTTTGAACTCTTCTTAAATATTGTCACCTCTACAAAGTTAATTGATCATCGGACACAATTTGGTTATCAATAAACAATGACAAGAAGCATGGATATTTAGTTTGCCTCCAACAACACCAATTGAAATAGAAGATTTGCCCACATTTCCTATTACAACTTAAGTAAAAAAGTAAAAGTTGGAATTTGAATTTCATAAGAATCAGTCAAAAACACATGAAGGACATTAACTTGTTCACTTCATAGTTTACGCCAAAAGATACAGCAGTGATGCACTTTTATTTGACAGGAAGAAAGGCAATATCTAAAAATAGTGGCACGGATTTCATCAAATGATTTAGAAAAGACAGGTGAAATTCAAATTGCAGATTATGCCTTGGAAGTTATGAGGAAAGTGGGACCTAAAATATTGGTTTCAGAGAGAGAAAGCATCTACAGTGTGGTCAAAGATTTGTGGTGCAACTTATTGTTAAATATTTCCTAAACTATTGAACATAAACTTTCCACCTTTTGCACAATGACTTGTATCAATTTGTCATAACATATTAACATTTTGATTAACACCTGTTAACTGTATTTAAGAAAATTCCTTAAAAAATACTAATAAAAAATTCCAGTGGGTGGGTTCTACAGATTTTTAAAGGTTTATAGATGGGGTAATATTGCTGTTAAAAGCAAGTCCGTAATTTTTTTTTCTAATTGCAACATTAAGCTTACTGAACGCATGATTTGAGAACCTTTAGTGATAAAGGATGTTCACTATTAAATTAATTTCTTGTAATAAGTTTTGCCACAAAAAAGTGTCTTTGGTAAGCTTTGATGTAGGTCATATGAGTATGCAAAATGTGTGTGAGAATCGGGAAGTGCTGTGAATAATCCCATTTTTCATGTCACAGAGACTTGTAGTATTTTATATAAATTTATGAAGAAAAGTTTATAAAATCTAGCCTCAGTTGTTGGAAAATATGACTAAGCTGAAACAAATTGATATAAACTGCTGGGCAAAGTATGGGCGACACTGACTCACCAGTTAAAGAGATATATTTGAAGATAAGTTGCACCACAAATTTTTTACTGCACTCTAGACCTCCTCTGATGAGATGAGTCTAGGGAATGAACCATGTGGTACACATAGGTTAGTCTCGGCGTTACCACAAAACTCCTGAAATAATGAAACACAACGCTAACAAGAATTCTGTTGCTTTACAAAGTGTTCACCTGCAGCAGCCATGGCCTCGGCCAGTTCGTCTTCATGCTCCGTCTCTTCCACTTTTTTCTTGCTGTCAAGTTTCACTGTTTTCAGTTCCCCAGTCACATCGTCTTTCGGGGACACCAGCTTAGACAACTGGAATTATAAGTCCCACTGAGAGTTACCTTTAGTTGTAGTAAGACTTTTAAGGTCATATAACTGCTGGAGATTAAAAATATTACTAGACAGTAACATTTGAATAAAAGGAGGACAGATAAGGACAATAGATGTTTGATAAGGAAGAAGGTGCAAACCACACCAGAGCACCCACCAACTACCCATGGTGTGAGTTATTCTCTTGACATGAATGGATCTCAACACAGTCTGACTCATTCGATAAGAGAAAACTTACATTTTGGAAACAGCTGTAAAAAAACTTAGTTCATGGCGAATGCTTTCCTTTCATCAAAAAAGAATTAATAAGCAAAATTCAACCATAAAAAAAACCTTGTTTGTAAACACAGTTCTCGGGTCCCAACACCTCTTCTCCTTTACAGGTCCCAACGGTAAAGCTGAACTTCAAAAGAGTTGATCTTTTTTTCACTCCCCCGACAACATTAACTCATCCGTAGTTGACTGTAATTCAGTGAATGGGTCTGCATCAACACACAGCCCAACTTTTATTTTTTCAACAAACACTCACACATGCATACAAATCAAAACATAACACTTTGAACTATAAAAAAAAATTCATAAGAATAAAAATATTACACTTAGACAACTTTTGTTTGTTTTATTAGATTAACCTTGAATGTAACTTTACTGTGTCAAAAAATCATTACGATAGGGCAATGCTGAGAGCTGTGGTGGTGTTTTGAAATACCCACAAAACATCAGTATTCAGGGCTAGAGCTGGTGAAATGGCCTTGTTGTCGGTGAGTTAATCATATTTGTGTAATATGCAACAACATATTTATACTGGCTATTGAAGTTTTTGTCTCCAACGGTACATTTTTAGTTCAGGCTAACCTCTGTAGAATAATATAAGGCTTTCTGCTATATCTCTTGTTTTGTATTCCTTTCAGACAGGCAAAAGAGATAACAACCCTCCTTACCTCACGCCTTCGTCTGCGATGTCTCGACTTGAGTTCTCCCTTCAGCACTTCAGCCTGCTCATTTTCCTCAATCATCTAAGCAGACAGAGAAAATTCAACAAGATGAAGGGAGTACGAATCATTTCGTAATCTCCACTCAGCTGACAGACAGAACATGAAATAGACTTCAAACACAAACTAACGTCTGACGCAACAATAATCAGCAAACAAGGTACAAAAAGTTTCCACAATAACAGATCCACCTAAAAAATAGCATCCACAAAAGCAATATTTCAGTGAGAAAAAAAAATGAAATAGGAAAACTCAACAACTTTTTTTAAAAGTCCACATAAAACAAAGAAAATTTCCTGAGGTACACAATTTAGACATCCATAAATCACACACACATTTCATAAGGTGAAACAATCTGACAGACAAAAGACATTTCATCAGCAATCAACACTGGATCTACTTCATTTCTCTCCCTTACCTCCGCCGTGGACGTTTCACCTTCGGTCTGGGACTGAGAGAAAGCCTGATAAGCCGCTTCTGTGTCAGTGTCCTGAGTATAATATGAAGGTAGATTACGCATGACAATCAACAAACAGAAACAGAGAAGAAAGAAAATGAGAAAGAGACGAGGGAGAAGGGTAAGTGGGGAGACTACAAGAAAATACAAAAGACACATAAATGCCAAACAAAGTGTGCTTGTTGGTGGGGGGGGGGGGGGGGGGGGGGCTGGAAAAAAAGAAGTATCTAGAGAGAGCATGAAGGAAATTGGTTGGCACTTGAAAAACATACACAACAATTTACAATTTAAATGATGAATCCACATTATAACATGATTGTTGGGGGATTTATGAAGTATTACCACTAGTCATTTCCTACATGATGCAGACAGCAATGTTAAATCGGGGTGCCAAACAGTATCATGGTTCACTGGTCTTTCAGGACTCTAGGATTAATTATTTTATTTTTTTCCCAAGGAGACATGTTTTTAAAATTTATGCGTCATCTTGACATGATAATAGCAGAAAAAATTACCAGGCTGGGGTTGGAAACTCCATCTTGCTCTTCTTCTTCAGTCTCATCTAAAAGGCGCTGTTTCGACCTCCTCTTTTTCGCTTTCACAATCTTATCAGCCATTCTTGACGATGAAAGTTTATTGCTTCACATCTGAAAAACATGAAAAAATTAAATACTACAAAAATTAAATTCAGGCAGTAACAATTGTCACTTTTCTTGTTAGCAAATACAGTATTACTTTAGGCATTCTAAAATTTATGCTTAAAAATGTACATGATAACTGGAAAAGTAGACACCAGAATACAAAATGAACACTTCAGAGGTGGCAACCTGTAGTTGCTTCTAGGTACGGCCACTTTGCATCTTGTTACCATCAACAGCACACTGTGACATTTACACTTACAACTGGCAGCATATTGCTGATGTCGTAGTTTGGTGAATGGGACTTTGCCTGCCCAGTCATACCTGGAGCTCCTGCTGCCAATTGTGTTAGTTTACTTGCCCGACAGGGCATGGGAAAAAAAGTAAATCTTCACCCCTGTGGTGATGCCAGAGAGCCCCCCAACCCTTCGAGTTTCACCTTCACCTTCATTCACTGAGGGGTTAAGTTAGGGACTCAATGTGATATCTTTCCTGGTACCAAGATCCGAAGGGCTGGAAAGGCCAGGTAAGGACAAAGTAAGCCAGAGTCATCTGTCTCATTCCAGCCTGCTGGTATTTCAGGACAATTCGACAAGGCACCAACATGGATAATGGACATGCAGGCAGGGTCCCTGGAATTGAAACTTAAACCCAAGTCCAAGTTCAAGCTCTCAACTTTAAACTTAACGATGTGTCTATTCTCAACCTGTGTTGAGAAAAGTAGAATTTTCCTGTTCCCAACCGGAGTTTTCTTTTGTGGGCTGACCTACAAGACCAAGACAGCAGATTTTACATGGTCATGTGACCGGTCTGATTCGCGCTGCGTGCCTTCTTCTGCTATACGTTGTCACAGAGAGTTGAAAGCTTGAAAACTAATGGCAACTTTTGCTGTTTTTTGGGGCAACTTTTGCTGTTTTTTGGGGCAACTTTTGGCAAATTTTGGAACAAAAAATGGCAACAAACGCAGACGCTAGATACATGTAAAATGTAATTTAATCTTGAAATATAGTGAGCCCAGCGCTTCAACTGGGGCATCATATGTTGTTTCACACATGATCCTCGACAGTTGGTGAGTTACAGTACATACAATATTATACACCTTGTAGGCCTATAACATGATCTTATTAGCTTAGCCTTGTACGTTAATCAACACAGAGGATGTCACTACATGTGTTTTTCTCTGTCCTATGTACCATCATATTCACTACTTTGTATAATATGTTATTCCAATTTGTTTTGAATGTGATTCTTCTTGTCAATTGGACATAAATAAAAGCATTTTCATTTCACAGGCTTTACTGCGTTGTTGTTATACAGCAGAATTCTACCAATGTGTTAATGGTGTGTAAAAGTCTGTTCAATAAATTAATGTTGCAGTTAAACTTCAATGTGTCTGCTTTCCTTCTGTGAATAAAGTTTTTTTGTTTTTTGTTTTAAGTGTTTTACAGCGCTCGCAAGGTCATATGAGCACGTGGGACACATTAAACATGATAAATATTCAGTTGGTAGGAAACATTTTTTAAATTTTGCACAGGTGGTAGCCAAAGCCTACGACGATTATCGATTTTGGACCACACCAAGGGATCTTTAACTTTAATTTGCGCAACTTGCACACGGGACCTCTGAGATTTTTTGCCCTTGTCCGAGAAGGCTAGTAGACCTTTCCTACCATAAGATCAGAGGTGTGGCTGAAAGACAGCAGTAAGAAGGAGCCAAGGAGTAGTGCAGCAGCAGAGATAGTCCTAAAGATTGCAGAAAGAGTCAGCGAGCCCAGAGGAAGGGGCAAAGGATGTGAGGGCGGTGGGGGCAGAAAGTGGAGACAAAAGCTGATGACAGAACATTGCTAGAGAGCGGAAAGTAGGTGAAAGGAGACAATTTTTTTACAGACGAAAAATTTTCTTTGCCATCCGGATTTGAACCCGCGACCTATTGAATAAGAGGCGAACACCTTAACCTCTAAGCCCCCTGAATAAGTTTAGTCTAACAATATTATGATCATTATTAGTAGGAGTTTTCAGCACACACACACACACGTTTCTTTTTGTGTCTGGTGAATAAGGTTGCGGGTTCAAATCCCGGCCGGGTCAAAGCGAAGACTTAAAAATTGGTATTCTGGAGCTTTTTCTCTTGACGCCAGCATTTTATATGAGGTAGGTGCCAGGACTAGTCTACAAATCTAGGGGGAGGGCTGTGGCTGTAAGGGGAGTGAAGTCATATATATGAAAATAAGAAGATGGACTTAAATCTAGACCAATCACCAATCAGGCAGGAGAATGAAGTCCACACTGTCCGGCATTGCTAACTTTTTCCCCCCGTCAGGCCAGTGTTCAACACACTTCACATTTTCCTTGACGGATCCTATGAACACATTGTTTACTTTTCAACGTGCATGTCAGTATAATACAACATTAGGGCTAAACTATCAGCACAGTAGAGTTGGGGCGAGCGGACGGACAGGTTCGAGGACTCAATCAGAGCGAGCGGGTAACGGGCCGCCATACAAGCGGACTGCGATCCTCAAGACAGTTTGTTTTTTTCAGTCCACTCCACAATTTTACTCTCTCAGCAAGCGGACTGTGGACTTCAAGCCTCAAGTCAGTTCGTTTCTTGGGTCCGCTCCACAATTTTATTCACTGAGCGGGCAGGCGAATGGACGAACTCTAGCAGATGAGATACTTGACGCGAGGTTAGACCCATCGTCTATTGTTTGTTAATTAGGCCTAGCAACTAGCGGTGCAACAGGGAGTTAGAGAGGCTGGTGACGTAGTGCTATGTGTGTAACCTTTCACCTCGTGTATGGTCTCACTCTGTACGTTGTAATTATCGCGAAGGCCAAGTTTAAATAATTTCCAAAGGCTTT